CAAATGGTGTTCTGGTACGTCCGAGGATTACAAGCTTCATGAAAAGAAGAAGAAATCGTGGGTGAGACACATTAAACCGTGAAGTGAGAGGACATTCTTACAATCTTGCCCACATCAGCCGGAGTCCCCGCTTCGACAACACATTTGGAGTGCTGAGTGCTGGATATAGCAACATGATAAATCCCCTTATTGTATAAAGGATCCCCTGGAAAAAAACCGTCAAGCCATGTAAAGTACACATTATAGCCAACTTGAGTTCACCTGGATAGAATACTTCGCTGGCTGACGATATGGCATGAGCTATGGCGATGCACACCACGTCGGTAGGGGACTGTGATACCGCAGTTGCCGAGCTCTGAATGCAGAAGTACACGAGAAGTCCCGCCCACACTAACAGCTTCATAGCGAAGGCAGGGAATGGGATTTGATTTGTAGTAACGCATTTTATGCATATATATACTCGGACTGAGAAATGGACCGTACCACTTGCATCTTTTTGTTAGCCGCGCCACTATGGTACACGGCCTGAGATATCTAGATACAGTTGAGCCCATAACTCATAAGTACATATTGGTGGACGACCCAAGATATGGCCTTGGAGGGTCACCGGTGTCTGTGGGCTTGGTGAGGTATGATAAAAATAGAATAGACTTATTCTACAAAAGAAAATCTAAGTCCGGCGCAAATCTAAGCGCAGACCATGGCAGACTCAGATACAGGCAAACATTTTGTGCTCATTCCCATAATTCTTAATCTCATGCGACCTCTCTGAAGTTTATCTCCACTTGGTTCAAGGCCAACTGACAATTGCCGACCCAAGCCATACTACCAGCCCAGTATCCTCACTTTGATCACCGATCTTCCGAGAGTAGAAAAGATATGTATGTAACCGGCGTAATATCGAGACGTTTTGTATTGCAATACAATAGGATGCAGCTATGTAAGTCATCAACGGATCGCATTGTATCAGGCTCTGTCGGATTGAAAACGCCCAAGCGCATCATATCGCGCGCTTATTTTTAGCACGTCAGCTGGACTCTTGTCAATTCACCGTAGTGTGCACATTGCACACAATTCACCGTAATGTGTGTACATATGCACACCTACTTACACGAGTAAGCTGTTAATCGGCTCTGCGAGGGTTCCTTGATAAGCCGAGTAAACGAGCCACACTTATTATATCATGCTCGGGATATGCGCCAGAGTGAAAACAATACTACCTCTATACCACTTGATGACAGCTATCGTCGTATGTAATCATATTGGAATATGATTGAGGATAAATAATTAGCCGTTTGAATGAACAATATCCCTAGATCTGGATATCTCTACTGCTCAAGCGTTCGGCGGTAGCAGCGATCTATACGGATAACCAACGGATAACCACATTTCTGAGGCGCCGCTGACATCTGATATTCAACAAATACTGGTACGACACTTGATATACTACAGAGATCCCGAATACATGTGATATGTATTCTTTCACTGAGGCCTAAGTATAAAGTGACACTTGGTCTCTAAACAATTTTTAGCGGAAGGTCTGCAAAGCAGTTTGAGCGCCTAATTAAGTAACGACAGTGCCTAATCTAGGCATGCGCGCCCCGCATCTTTTTGATGGAGCCGTCAAGCCGCTCTATGTGCCGCGGAAACCCACGCTTCCACTTACAAGACACGTCTCAACTCCAGGAGTTTTTAATAACGAAATAAGATTTATTTGAGACCAAATCAATGGTACTACAACATGATCATTGGAACTTCCACCCTCCTCCACGCCCCGTGACATTTGCGGCGTCTACCCTCTTCTTCAACGCCATCAACGCCGGGTGGTTTGTGCAGTACATCTTCGCCAACGCGGTCCCCGAGGTAGTGTAATTTGGATAGTAGGGAACATTGGATACCTCTTTCTGGCCAAGGGCCATGAGCCCCACTCCAGAGCTATATTGAAAGGTTGGAATGGCATGTTTCACTCTGGAGGGAATTCCTATTACACCACCACCCCTATCTAGCCTCACACGGGCACGCCGCTCTCAGGATTATCCTGCTTTAAATCAAGATTGATACTGTTGTTACAATTATCCTGACCATGACGTAACTCGGCACTACTAAAATTTCCATCCTCCTGCGAGTCCCATAACGTTGGTCGGGTCAACCCTCTGCTTTAGCTCGACCAGCGCCGGTATATTCGCGCCATACATCTTCTCCAAAGGTGTCCCTGCTACAGCATAATTCGGGTAGTATGGAACATCCACAAGGTTCTTCTGACCCAATGCAATTTGTGCGTTGATAAGGCGCGCCTGGCTGGCAACCACTATGGCATGGAATTCATCGTCAAATGTGGATGAGTTCCACTGATAGGCTATGTTGAAGGGTTGGAACGAGATGTTTCTCACTGGCGGGAATGCGGTTTTAATGGAATTGTGGGAGTAGATACTTGGAAGAAATAATTCGACGTCGTATGAAACAATGATCAGGCTTTTGTTGGTGAGAAGTTGACCAATAGCCTGTGCCGTTGGAATCCTTTGAGTGGGTTGATGCCTCTTTCAGATAGTGATACACTTACGACGGTTTCATTGAACAGCAGAGATCCTACCTCGGAAGTGAATCCAAGATTCGGAAGGAATTCATACAGCGTCCTGGGACAAATCAAGGTATTAATCAGACAGCGTACTGGAATGATGAAGTGCATTACCTAGTTGGTTGCGTGAAGTTGACGGGCGACGATTGTACCATGCTCAAGAAACTCCTTGTACTGACATCTGATCCAACTGAGGGAATGGCCAGAAAACTATCAAATATCCCAGCTGGTGGTGTAGGAGCATCATAAAACATTAAAGCGGCGGAGACAACCTTTTGGTCGGATAGAGATAATCAGTCTTAGTGCGAATCTATTCACTTGAGAGCGGAGCAATAAAGCGCACCTGCTGGATAGAAGGTATGTAGTTGTACGTTGTGATTAAGCCGGCTTTGGGATCAGTTACATTCTGGAAGGCCACTGTGGCAGCAGTCACCGCATCTGCAACTACCCCAGGGTATTGAATGATGCCACCCTACGGATTTTGTTACAATAAACTTTCACGGAGGTCAATCAAGCTCCCAGGATGCTCACCCAAACCTGGGATTGAGGGAATGCCTTTAAAGTGAATGCAGTTACCACTCCCTATTAATGGCGCCGATTCCATGAGGATTCCGACGGTCTGAGAATAGACATCAAAAGAACTCTTACGAAGTTATTTTGACCACCCTTTAATCCGAAGAAAAGCTCGGGATCCGTTGCTTGCGTCACCCGCACGACTTGTCCATTGGGTTTGACGAGCTGGAATGCAACAACATTGTCTACCGCCAGCCCATATTGGTTTGTTTTCCAAGAATATCCTAGATAAAATCAGTCTGTTGTACGTATAGGTTGATATTAATCGCGTACCGCCGCCCAATGTAAACCCGGCTACACCTATTCCGGTAACGCGCCCGCCGACAACATTCACACCAAGAGGCTCCAAAGCAGCATATACGTCGTCCCAGATTAAGCCGGCGCCCACGTCGACGGTCTGACTCGAGGAATTGTAAGTAATCTCCGAGAATCTGTACATGGATATGTGGATGCCGAGCGTGGACGAGAAATGAACGTTCGTTGCATGGCCGCCTCCCTTAACCTGGAAGGCATTGGAAGGGAATTATTACATCAAATTATCAACAAATTATGGAGGTCTGACTCACTGCAAATGGTGTTCTGGTACGACCCAAGATGATGAGCTGTAGAAATCAGTATTCTTCAATGGTACAATGGTGCAGTGTAAGGAGAAAGTCTTACAATTTTGCCTACATCAGCTGCAGTTCCTGCTTCAACTACACACTTGGACTCCTGAGTACTGGAAATAGCAGCATGGAAAATTCCTTTCTCATACAATGGATCGCCTGTGCAGATAATACGGATGGAATAAGTTCTATGTCTGAAGCTCAACGGTAGACTCACCTGGATAGAACACTTCACTGGCGTTCGATATGATGTTCGCAATCTGTGCACAAACCACGTCTTGGACTCTCGGAGGCGCGAGTGTAGCAGCGACCCTCGCCGTACTGCAAGATACTGTGAGACCGACTAACAGAAGCGCCTTCATGGTACAACGATGGTTAGGATGATCCCTTACAGTAATTACCGTTGCGTTTTCTGGTAAAACGTTGACAGGTGATGGTGCCTAGCGGCAGAGCTCGGCCTTCCAGTTCGGCGCATCCTGCCATTTCTCAGTGTTAGCCTTCTGGTGAGCATTATGAGGCGCAAAATACCCTCAGGAAAATTAAAATGTTGAGAAAAGTGAGATATCGCAATTTTTAGTCAAATTACAGGGTGGAAAGTGGGGAGGGGGCCAAGTTGGGGCCCGGCAGAGTGATGCCGTCGATGGTTTCAATCAGGGCCAAACAGATCAAACATGATTTTCACAAAATCGAACGGCAATTATTTATGCAAACGACTGTAGCGCATCATGATCATGAAGCATCCGCTCTCCAGCTATATATGTATGTTCTCAAGACTCATAGTAATGATATCAGGGACCCATTGACATGGTTACATCATTCTCTGAATTCTCACCATGGGCGGCGACTCGGACTTGTGGCATCTACAGGCCTAAAGCAGAAGTAGCCTTAGGTTCTCGAACTTCAGTGGCCATTCAACTTTTATGCTCGTTCTTAATCTGATGAAAATGATGCAGCATGCCAATATCATGTGTAGGTTACGGAAGATACATATTCAGTCACCGCATACAGTTGGCATACAGGTTCGAGAGAATTTATTACCTCCCATTGACAGTTGTCAGGTTCCCAAACAACTTAAAAGAGGCCTCTCGGCGAGGACTCACCCTGGAGGGTTGGTATCAATTTAACATCGAGTTTAAGCGCCCACGGCAAAGCTACGAATCAAGCCAGATCATGCGACGAGCATTCGTTGCCTGGTGCACTTACGGCGAGAACATCGAAAGTGCTCATCCGAGAACTACTGAAAGTTATCTTTGCTAGTATATCAGTTAGTACACGCGCTTGTCATACAGGCATCTCGCGATATGCTCTGAAACCGCGCGAAAGCTGGGTTCAACTCCCAGGCAGAGAGGTTTTTTTTTATCGTTGACTCATGCCGTTCAACGAATCTGGCCAGTCACCAGTGGCCACTTTCGAATTTCCTGCCAGCGGAACTTGTAATACGGAAGTTGGAACGGCGAAATCGACTTGCATATTAAGTATTTTAAATTGTCGAGTCCCTGTTGCGGCACCGTCTTACTACATTTTACAAACATTTGAGCACTAAATCGCTTCGTCAGGCTGTTCCATCATGATCATACATAACTTACACCAAATGTAATATCCCGCTGCCAGCAAGTAAATTATAAAAGTGGATTGGTGATGCTGACTTGCAGGCACATAATTCACTTGACAAGCAGGCCCATTCATCCATTCATAAAATGTAGGCCACCGATATGTTTCACCGATATTCCACCATCATGGTTATAGGAATTCGGACCACTGTTTTCGACCGATGGCGAGCAATTGCAAGGTCAAATATACCTTGTGTAGTACAGCATGCTTGTAAGTCAGGCTATGCTATCCACACACCATATTAATGTGCATGCAATCTTCCTCAAGCGACTTTTCCATTGCACTGGCAGTCGTTTCCAGTCGCTTCCACAAAGTTGTGGAGTCTGACTTGAGTCTGACCTAAGATTTCGTAGACCTACAGACTCCGAGAGTGGGGGGTTTTTAATTGTGGTTGAGCGCCTTTCCCTGATCGTCCTAGCAACGGAATCAGGGCGTGTATAAATGATCTCTGAATTTGTGAGAAAGAACGGATTGTTTATGGCTGCTGGCAGCATACGATCGGCTTCTTCCTCCCCTCCATGTTCTCAAAGCGTATCCGTCCGCCGGACATCGACATCGCCCGCGTCCGCGACGCCCCCGCTCCAAAAATCCATGTGCAGAGCGACACCGACCTCACGCTTTCCGACGACGACGATGTGGAGACATTGCAGTTATCCGACTCGGATTCCTCAGACTCATCCCCGGGCCATCGCCCAGGCTCCCTCCTTAAAATCAACCCCGCCGACGACGATATGCCCCTCCCCGACGACATTACGAAGGATCTTGCCGCCTTACAACAACTCCGTAAAAGTGTGAAGACGAATTTGCGCCTGCGCCCTATCCGTTCGCGGAGTAATCTCCCAAAAATCAATCTCGACATCAATTCTGCCATACCATCGCCCTTCACATTGTCAAAAGGGAGCGATGATCTGAGTGCAGTGAGCCCCGCGTCGAGCGCATACTACACCCCGATATCGGAAACCCCACACACCGCCTCTAAACACCGAGCCCCGTTCCTAGAGCCGTTCATCGTCACAACCGACAGGGTTGGGGCGGAACCCAGCGGGACAGGCACACCACAACACGCCACTCTCTTTCCCCTCAAGAACCGCTCTACGCCGCTATCCTCGCCTTTACCCCCTTTGCCTGGTAATATAGCTAGCCCGATCTCGGCCAATGCTTTATACAATCGCCTACGCGCACCTTCACGGCCCCTGCTCATAGACACGCGACCGCTGGCTGCACACCAGGCATTCCATCTACGTTACAGCGTGAGCATCGCGATCCCTTCGCTCATCCTGAAGCGGTGTCGCAAACCGGGTGGTGGACTTCCCGCGCTCAGTGCCCTGCGCCAGTTTGCTACAACAGAGCAGGGTAAGGAGCGGTGGGATGAGCTCATGGGACCGGAGGGCGGGTGGGACGGGAACGTGGTGATATACGACGATGAAATGGACGTAAAAGACAAGGATATCTTGGGGGTAACGGCGTGGGCCATCATGCCTGTTATTGCTCCCTTGCTGCATGCCGACGGGAGGATCGAGTATCTCGAGGATGGGCTTTCAAAGGCAGGCCACAATCCGGACCTTACAACACTCATCGTCACAAGCGACGAGGCCGACGCGGAATCGAGTCGTACAGATACGCCGCAAAGCGGGGGGTTCGCGAAGAAGAACAACGGCGGGCTTTTCCAACTTGACACTCATATGGCGTTCAAATTCAAGAAATTGCCTGAAATTGAACCGTCGTCGTCGACAGCATCGAATCCGCCCTCTCCACCCGTGCCTCACCTCCCGCCCTCGCCACTTCCTATGATGCCATCAACATCCCACCCGCCGAGTGTTCCCTCGTATTCGGCCAGTGTTGCCGATTCAACACCATCGCCCCCACCATCATCTATTGGGTTCCGCCGACCCGCTCCCCCACGGCGGCCCAGTGTTTCTGGGTTGCGTCGCCTCGATACACGCTCTGCGGAGCGGCTGAATCCATCTCTCCCCAAGCTCTCCGTGCGCACAAAGCCCATGCGCTCCGCTACTCTCCACTTGCCCCCCTCCCTGAATCTGAACATTGGCCCGCCTCAGTCACCATCTCACCTGCAGCTCATGTACTCCACGCACTCTCCCCCGCTTTCTGCACGATTTATGTCACCATCTGGCGACCCGTCAAATTACCTCACGCCTTATTACACTCCACCCCACACGCCCGGTACACCACGAGGGGTCCCCCCGTCTCCATCGACTGCTCGACCAGATCTTGACCCTCCAACAACAGAAGAGGCATTCCCTATGTTTGCAGTTTCCACGATCCTCCCGAACTTCCTGTTTCTAGGCCCAGAATTAACAACACCGGAGCATGTTGCAGAATTGAAGGAACTCGGGGTAAAGAGGATATTGAACATTGCGGCAGAATGCGATGATGATATGGGACTGGGACTGAAAGAAGCGTTCAAGTACTGTAAGATACCAATGCGGGATACGGTCGAGGAGGACGGGATTGCGAAGGGGGTTAGGGAGGCCTGCGATTTTATCGGTAAGCTTCTACCAACGTCGGCGTGGACAGGAGGCTAAGCAGTGCGCACCCTCTCACAGACGATGCGCGGCTGCATTCCGCCCCGACGTACGTGCACTGCAAGGCCGGCAAGTCGCGCTCAGTCACCGCCGTCATGGCCTACCTCATCCACGCAAACCACTGGACGCTCTCACGCGCATACGCCTTCGTCCTCGAGCGCCGGAAGGGCATCTCCCCGAACATCGGCTTCGTCTCAGAGCTCATGAACTTCGAGGAGCAGGAGCTCGGCGGCAAGTCCGTCGGCGTGCAGCCCACGTCCGCCGTCGGGTCCGCCGTGCCGGCGTCCGGCTCGAGCGCGCCCAGCGGCACGGGAGCTGCGGGCGCGCCGCGCCCCGGCGAGTCGACGATGCAGCACAGCCAGGCGACGGTGCAGGAGGCGTACGCGATCGCGTCGAACGGGACGAACCGCCGCGGGGCGCACGTGCGCGAGAGCCTCCCGCCCGTCGCGACCGACGCGTCGCTCGCTCTGGGAGGGCCGATGTCCGCGGGGGGCGTCATGGATGCGCGCGATCGCGTCAACGGGGACTCTGGGCAGGAGATGGAGATCAAGGACGCGAGCGGCCGCTATCGGCACGCGCGGCGGGCGCCTGTGGATGAGACGACGCTCCAGCCGATGCGGAGAGTGAGCAAGGCCGGACTCGAGAGCTCCTCGTATGTTTAGACCCGTGCGACGACCAGCGCGAATGTGGCTGAGGGTGGGGTGGGGAGGTGTAGGTGGATTTTTGTTTTACTTTATCTTGGTTTCGGTTTCGATTTATCTTCGATTTTCTTGGCTTAGAGACTCGCGCGGTACATTGGGTGGTATCCCCAGATACGCGTGCGGCTCCCACAGACGATGTCAAGGCGGCTGTGTTAACTTATTCTGGGTCTATTTTTCATTTTGTATTTTTTTTCACTGCACCTCTCTTCACGCTGCACCCCTTAACGACTTCGCATTACGAGGACCCTTGCCCACATTGACCGCTTCCGTCAGACACATTATGGATCCCTCTTCTTTATATATCCATGTTGTTTTCATCATTTTCTCTCTTTACCCTCAGTCGAACATCATATTCTTTGTTTGAAATCGATGCGGTGTTAATCCGCTCATTTGAGCGTTTAAAAGGGTACTTTCTTCGAATGCTTTTCTTACTTCGTCATTTGTGACATTCACTGTCTCGCTCAGATTCTTACACGTCATTATCGTGCCTACGACTTCATGGGATACAGAAGTCCCGCTGCGATGTAGTCTATAATTATGGCTGCGTATAACCCAATTTCGAAGTAAATCTTGTTGACGATTTACATCGCCTGCTGGTGGAAGTTATACTACACTTGGATTAACGGCTGGCTCTTGCGTCTGGCCAAATAAGCTCCACCTATTGGACAATTGCTCCCTGGATATGACGTACCAAAGCATCAACTGACAACTATCTGCCACAAATCTGGCGGTACTATTTGGGTATGTACTACGTTCGAGGAACAAGGAAGTGATGCTTGCTCAGCGTCTCTCAGCACTCAGGACGGTTTATTTGGACCGACTTCCATATCAATGTCGATCCCCATCTTGTCCCCATCTCCATTAAAACCAACAGTACGATTTAACACCACTTGTAGCACCAGCTAGTCCGCTTTCAAGTTTCATCGTTCCAATACGTCTGCGAGAGAAAAGAAACACTAATGGAGAAGGAAATCCGCAGGCTAACTATCATTATCTTCCTTCCTTGAGTTTATTCTTATATACGATTCCAAGTACTTATAGCAACAGCTAATCTGCTCATACCGAACGGTGACTCCGGAGGGGTCTCTGTAGACACATTCTCTCACGGGCTCATCATGATGATCGTTCCCTCGCTTTCAACTCTGGCATCTACCTACCTCTTTTTCTTATCCTTAATCAGTCTCTGCCTCGCCGGTAGTCCGTCTCCATTACCAGGGCCTTCCTTGCAAGATAGTGTATGTCTTCGTATAGCCCATTCCATATCGCCAGCAAGCGAAGTATTCTATCCAGGTATGATCTTCTATCTCATTTCTGGATTGCCAGTGTCCGCGGCTGACATGCTCATTCCAACCACTTAAGGGGAATCGTTATACGAAAAAGGAATATTTCATTGGGCAAGCTCAAGCACCCAGCAATCGAAATGTGTTGTTGAGGCAGGAACACCGAGTGATGTAGGAATCATAGTGAGTATTTCCATGCAGATCAATTCAACC